GCCCATGATTTACCCCATGCCACAGCAGCTGCTACAATGGGGTAGAACCCCCAAAGGGACTGAGGTGGTGGAAAAATTTCCAAACCTGGATGCCATGGCCAACAGCTCCAAAGCAATCATTCCCGGTAGATCGCTGCCAAACCCATGGTAGATGCCACGTCTGACCATCTGGTTGGAGAAGTGTCAGACAATCCTGGAAGGAACATGCTTTTACCATGCCAAGTGGTTAAGAAATCCCCCCCATGTGCAGGTCTGCTGTGGCTGGGGTGTCTAGGGACATCCTCTGATCATCATGTTGGAAGTGTGGAAAAAAGGGAAAAGTACTCTGGATGTGAAAGCGTGGTCTTGTGGTATGATTTGCATGGCAAAATTAAGGAACCTGGTAGGGATTGTAGTTCCTTGCGGTTGTAAGTACTAAGCAGGAGGTAGTGATTGATGTAGTTGAGAATGTTCCCTATTTGTCTTGTGGTAACTTGCGTGTATGGATGCCGACTCAAGTCGTATGCCCAGTAGTGTGATGATAGTGTCTGGGCCTTCTGTTTCTTATGGGGTACAGGGACACCCAAGTGGTCAACCAGACTAAGCTGCCATGAGGCTTCTAGTGAAAATATGTTATCTTTGATCAACAAGAAGTCTTCTAGATAGTGTATGACTGTAAGGCCTCTGGATATGTTATCTGTGAATATCGATAGTAGGCTAATCCGTAGCCCGAAAGTTGAGTGGGGAAAGGATTGCCCATTTTATGCCATGTAAGTGCCAGTGTGTAGTGTAGATGGTAGCCGTTTACTGCATTGATGATATTGGTCTTACTTAACCAAGCTTCAACCCATGCTTGAATGATAGTTGTAAAGGTAGATCAGTGGTGTTGTATAGTAAGGAAACTCCTCGGAGGGTATGAGGGAGTTGAGACTTGGGGTAGCAGAGGTGTGTGGTGCCAATAAGTCTATGGTTAGTCTTTGTTTAAGGGAAGATTCCCTTGTGACAATACCAATGTGTTTGTGTTTGGCGCCATGCTGTAAATGGTGGAGATCGAAAAAACCCAAGTAAAAACCCCTCTGCAAATCTTGGCTATGAGTGTGTTTACAGCCGATGGTTCTGTTGTGCTGACTGTAAGTGAGGACATGCTATATTCCTTGAAGGTGTATTTATAATACCTGTATGGGAGCCCTTTGAAGCTCCAGAGCTTTAGTAAATCTACTACAAGTCTGGAAGGGTGATGAGTCAGTAGTGTTGAAAATGCATTGGTGTGTAAAGATGGTGAGTATGTTTTTTTTTTTTTGTAAGTTGTATTGGGACACATGGTTTGTCATGTGCCCTGAATCATTTGAACATATATGCAACAGTCTATATGCAATGCAACTACTCATACCAATTGTCTCTGGTAGTTCAGAGGTGCTGGTACCTGGAGCCTGAGAGTGCTCATCCGTTTGTTTGGGACAAAATCCCTTCTGTATGGGTACCTGCACAAATAAACATCTCTACATATTCCAAATGCCAACACAACCAAGGGATGGTCAGTTCCAGATTTACCTGTAATCCCTGGATCTGACCATCACAGATACATCGTCATACATATATATGCCTTGTTTCCCCAATGTGCTGGGATCATATATGCAGGGTTAACGTCTTGTGTGTCATAAGAATTGAATGTACCAGGTAACCAAGGTTCGGTTGGTGCTGGTTGTACAGTAGCGTGAGGCCCAGCCTTGTGAGGGCTGTGGTGACCGACTCGAGATTGCCAGTCTTTTGTAAATTTTTTGGCTCATGAGTTCATGAGTGAGGCTAGCATGGCCCGGGTGTCACCTGAGTGGTTGTTGCTGGGCCTTCCCCTGCCTCCGTGTTGTCCGTTGATGTATGGAGGCGTTTGAATAACTCTGCTTTCCTTTCTGTGGTAGCATAGGGGATTTGTTGCCTCATTAGGTCGGTGGTAATGTGTGGGATCGTCCAGGATCTGATTGCTGCTGGACTAGCAACATTTGCTCTGCTTGAAGGTGTATCACTTCTAGCCTGGGTGCTAGGAAGAGGTGATTCTTCACCATCTTTTTGAGAAATACTTAAATAACAATAAAGATTGCAATTATTATTTGTACCCAGGGGTCTTGTACTGGCTTGCTAGCTAAGCTGTAAGGCAAAATGATTAGGCTTGGTGTTTTTTGGTGACTGGTGAGGCCCTGCTAGTTGCCAACTGGCTTGAGAGACTCTATCTATGCTTGGCGCGGGGAGATTTTGTGTGGCCACCGAACGTTGTGGCAGGATGTTGGCCTTTTGGTGACAGTAACCAGAAAATAGGAAGGGGAGTGACAGGTGAAGCCCTCTCTATGATACAATGCGAGGTGGCTAGCTCACAAGTGGCCTGAGGGGTGTATGCCTCCGAGTGTGAGGTGTTGGCCTCGCGGGACCACTAACCGAAGCATAATGCAGAGAAAAAAGGGGGTAATACCTATTGGGCCCTAGAACCCTAATTTCCAGTACGCTATTACTATTCCAGGGAAGGTAAGAGATGGATAACTACATGAGCAGGTGTATGTACCTGGTAGTATGGTATTGAACCTGACAATCCGTATAGGTTTTTTAGTAGTAACTGTAACCTGAATGGATAAAACCGTATGGCATAAGGAAATATGGCATAGACCAAGCTTAGCTTAATACTTAGAGTATATGGGAAAAGTAAAGTGCCGTGATGTGTAAATATTAAACATCGTAGCCATACTGGTTAAATATGTATCAATCTTAACCCATTAAGTGCTGTACGTACAAGTGAAAAAGTGGTCTGTCCCCACCTTGTTTGTTGTATGTCCATCTTAAAATGACAGAGAGGCTGACATAATGACATGTTCAGAAGGGTATGTTAACCTATTAATGATATTTGCAAGCATTTAGTTTAATCTTATAAACTCTGCTATATGGATTTTATATGTCTATATTTATATTTTTTTTATAATAAATATCTAAAAAGACAAAACTTTATTGCTTCCAAGGCAATTCTTATTTTATATCGTATTCTCGATTATTTATATATGTTAAATAGAGGATCTCTTACACTAACTATATAAAATTATGGCTAAGATATCTGTATGGTTAGCCCTACTAAGTTCTATGCGTTAAGACGTAATAGTGGTTACACCCTCCCTCTCCCAGTCACGTGTGGTGTTCCCCAAGGTTCCATTCTCAGCCCCCTACTATTTACATTATTTATAAATGATCTCCTCAAATGTACACATGTACGCAGATGACACAGTAATCTATGCGAGCAAATCCAATCTACCACAGCTTGAAGCTGTGCTCCAAAACCAGTTTACAGAGGTAGAAAAGTGGATTGCAAAAAACAAACTCTTCCTAAACACTGACAAAACTGTCACAATGATCTTTTGAACAGTACCTAAATTACACAAATTACACAATTCCCACCTATCCATCATAATAAATTCAAATGGCACACTGACCACAGTCCACTCTTTCAAATACTTGGGTATGATATTCGACCCCAATCTATCTTTTGGCCTCCACATAGAAAAACTTGCATCTAAACTTTATCCAAAATTAGGTGCCATGTACAGAAACAAATCCTGTCTAAGCCCTACAGTAAAGGAAAAGATTGTACAGCAAATGCTGATGCCACTCATTGATTATGGGTATGTAGTATCTGCATCTCAATCCCACATTAATAAACTCAATACATTGTATAACTCGTTCTGCCGATTTGTGCTACAATGTAATTACAGGACCCACCATTGTGACATGCTAAAAGAACTAAACTGGTTGTCGCTGGAATCCAGACGCACCCTTTGATCTTTCCAGTCTTGTGTTTAAGAGCTTTTCTGGGAAACTCCCACCCTACCTGAACAAAATGCTCTCCTCAGCTGTTCCCACCTCCAATCCAGTACCAACACTTTATTTAGTCTACCTCAATACAAAAAGGAAGCAGCCCGATCTTCCTTCTCCTACAGAGCACTGCAATTGTGGAACGACCTCCCCAAAATTTAAAATCTTCCCAAAGCCTAAAGTCCTCTAAGCGATCCCTCTCTACATACCTCAAAACAGAATGCAAATGTCATGGTTGATTATATATTTCCTACCTGTTCTATGTTAAATTTTGTATATATTGTGTATTAACCCCTTAAGGACACATGACATGTCATTATTCCCTTTTATTCCAGAGGTTTGGTCCTTAAGGGGTTAATATTGTTTTTGTATTTTATTATACTTTAATGTAACAATGCAATGATTTGTGGACCCAGGACATACTTGAAAACGAGAGAAATCTCAAATGTATCTTTCCTGGTAAAATATTTTATAAATAAAGAATAAATAAATATATAAAATATAAAAATATAAAAGCTCTGCATTGCTTTCTGTCAAGATATCAATAATGTGTATGTTTATAATGCTTTCCTGTTTTGAGAAGCTATTTTCGACTGTGACTTAGATAGCTCATTCTTTAGTTACATTGTATAAGAAGTAGCTATGTTGCTAGTATATATCAATGTGATCTTACTTACTTATGTCCTCCACCCGTCCCAGGCTATGGGCCGCCAAAGGTAAATCTCCAGAGACTTTTGTCCTGGGCCATTCTTTCTAGTTGACTCCAGGTGTGATGTCTGCCTCAAGGTCGCATCGCCAGGTGTTTTTTGGACAGCCTCTCTTCTGCTTTCATTGGGGGGTTCCACCTGCGAGCCTGCCTGACTATGTTCGTTTGAAGTTTGCGTAGGTTATGCCCTACCCAGCCCCATCTTCTCTTCCAGATTTTTGCCTCTGCTGAAAGTTGGCAGGTCCTTTCCCTCAGGTTGGTATTACTGATGGTGTCTGGAGTGTGGAGAATCCTTCTGAGACAGCTGTTGATGAATGCCTGTATTCTTCTGTTGGTGGTTTTGGTTGTCCTCCAGGTTTCAGCCCCATACAGCAGTACTGACTTCACATTGGAGTTGAACAGTCAGAACTTGGTGGTCAAGGTTAGCTCTCTGGAAGCGGCTCTTGCTTTGCCGATCCTTGCCTTGATATGTCTATATACTTGCATCTGTTCCACCTTGCTGGTCGCTGATGCTGCCCAGGTAGGTGAAGAACTGTACTTCCTCTTGGGGACTTCCATTCAGGGTAATTGGGTTGATGTTGCTGAAGTTGGTCTTAAGGATCTTAAGGATCTTGATCTTCTCCTTGTGGATGATGAGTCCAACCTTTGCTGATGTAGCTGTCAACACACTGATCTTCTCTTGTATCTGCTGCTTGCTGTGGGAGAGAAGTGCGAGGTTGTCAGCAAAGTCCAAGTCATCCAGTTGACTCCACAAGGTCCACTGGATTCCATTTCTGCGTTCGCTGGTGGATGTCTTCATGAACCAGTCGATGGTGATGAGGGAGAGGAAAAGGGGATAACAAGTATCCTTGTCGGACTCCAGTCTTCACCTGGAAGCTGTTGGTAAGTTGTCCTCTGTGGATCACTCTGCAGGTCATTCCCTCATACGAGCTCTTGATCAGGTTGACCACCTTCGCTGGGATGCCGTAATGCCGTAGGAGCTTCCATAGGACTTTCAATCCACACTGTCAAATGCCTTCTCATAGCTTACGAAGTTAAGGTACAGTGATGAGTTCCACTCCAAGGACTGCTCGACTATGATGAGCAGCGTTGCAATCTGGTCAATGAATGATCGATTCTGCAGGAAGCCTGCTTGTTCATCTCGTAGTTGTGGATCGACGACATCCTTCATCCACTCCAGGAGCATCCGGTTGAAGATATTGCCTGTAGTTGTTACAGTTGCTGAGGTCACCTTTCTTTGGAAGCTTGATTAGATAATCCTCTTTCCAGTTGGTATCTCTTCTTCATCCCAGATCTTCTTGAAGAGTGGGTACAGCATCTCCACTGATGATTTCAGGTCTGCTTTCAGGGCCTCTGCTAGTATGTCATCAGGTCCAGCTGCCTTCCCGTTCTTCATCAGGGTGATGGCCTTCCCGATTTCTTCTCCAGTCGGCTTGCCGCAGTTGATGGGTTGATGTCTGGTGGATTTGGTGGTGCTGGTCTGTTTAGGAGCTCTTCAAAGTGTACAGACCATCTGTTTATCTGCTGTGCTAGTCCTGTGAAGACCTTTCTGTTCTGGCTTGCTGTACTCCCCAGACAGTTTCTTAGTCATGTCGTACAGCTGTTTCATGTTGCCGTTCTATGTTGCCTATTCTGCTTCAGCTGCTAGTCCATCTATGTAGTCTTTCTTGTCCTTTCTAATGTTTTTCTTCACTGATCTGTAGGCTTTTGTGTATTCCACTTGGGCCTTGGCTTTTTCTGCCCTAGTCCTGCTGTTGTTTACTGCCACCTTCTTCTGTTTTCTCTCTTCTATCTTGCCAAAGGTCACAGCTGTGATCCACTCTTTGTGGTGATGTTTCTTTGCTCCGACCACTTCTTGACAGGTTGTTCTCAGTGTCTCTTTTATTGTCTGCCAGCTGGCTTGCACACCGCTTCTTTCCTATTTCTTGTGTAGCTCATGTAACACTTCAAACTTGTTCTTCAACTAAAGTCCTAACATTCCATGTGCCGATGTGGGTTCTCCTGGTCGAAAGAAGGGTAATTGGCTCGGTGGCTTCCTTTCGGCTTTCACCACCTATCGTATGCATCTCCTATACATCTCCAAATTGTCGGAGGTCCTCCATCTTCCAGGAAATTAGTCTCTGTTTCTCTTTTTGGCATTTCTGTAGTGGTTGAGGTTTCTCCAGAGTAAGTTTGCTAGTCCTACGCCCAACCTTCCTCCTTTTTCATCCGGGCTTGGGACAGGTAATGGTGGATTTAAGCGATCTACTTTGGTTTATTTCAACAAGCCAGAATTGTAACTGCACCTCAGTGAGAATGGCTAATTTTGAGTTCATGCAGTAGAAATTAGTCTGTTCATGCAGTAGAAAGGAGTCTGAGCCCCTATCTGTGATATTGGGATTTATTAATCTCCTTTGCATGATAACTGCCTCAACACAAGCAGGTATCATTTTTTTCCTCCTATATCATCCTATCCCTGGGGCAGTGAGCATTTCCTGTGATTGGAACTAACTTACAGATGTGGCATTAGGTAAGAGAGTTTCTAAAGGCAGAATAATTGATCCTAGACTGAAAAGAACATCATAACCATTTTCTAACGGTATACTAAAAAATAACTTATACTATATGCCTATCCTCTGTCAGTACTCCCACATCTGATGCTTGCCTCCAAGACTTCTCCAGGGCTGCACCTTTTCGGTGGAACTCCCTTCCCTTCTCTGTTAATCTCCACTCCTTCAAAAAATCTTTGAAAACACACTTCTTCAGGCAAGCATATCATCTAAACTGTTAGCAAGTTTTCAACCCCCTCTCCCTCACAAGACTCCTCTCCTTCAACTGTCAAAAATAACCTTATCAGTGATTACTTTCTAGCAACCTATTTCCATACCCCTACTTATACCATTTGTGTTACTATGCCCCACTCCCTCTAGCATGCAAGTTTATTGAGCAGGGCCCTCAACCCCTCTGTTCCTGTGCATCTATTTATTTGGTTACAATTACGTGTCTGTTAGTCCACCCACTGTACAGTGCTACAGAATTTGCTGGCGCTATATAAAAAATAAAATAATAATAATAATAATAATAATATATGGAGGACATTGCATCCACGCAAAAAAGATAATAATTACTATTCAGAATTTTCCAGTCATACTCAAGAATAGATACTTTTTTACTAATCCTTCCTTTGTCAGATACTACAAAACCTTGAGGATATGGAACATTACATAATTATGCTCCAATATATTTAGAAATAGATTTAAATACCAATTATCAACATAGACTGGGCTGGAAATGGAATGATTGTTTATTGTCTTCTAGTATGAATATTGATAAGGCATTATTGGAAGCGCTCAATTTTCTTGGTATTAATGACAATGATGCAGTTTCCAACACAGTGTTATGGTGTTCTTTTATAAAGCAAAATGAAGGGATAGTTTATCAATAAGGTTGCGTAAATAAAAATTACAAAAGAAAAATCCCTTATAGAGTTATATATTTCTTTGTCAAAACGGGAAAAAATAAATAAACAAAAAAAAATCCCACCTAGAGGTATGTGATAGAATTTATCTTGATTCCAAGGCTCAAGCTTATAGGTGTCATGTAATAATATCCTATATTAAAATTGGCTAACTTGGACTCAGGAAATGCTTGATGCTTACACAACACTTAAGACCATATATGTCTAGTTCCAGGAGCAGAGAGCCCCCACCTAAGATGTCTCTTCTCTAATCTTTTTGCTCTTTCTTACCTTGGAACTTATTTGTTATGTGTACATGACGTTCATCCCTATGTCTTATCTGTACTCTCTTCCTATTACTGTTCTAAGAGTATTTGCACATAAGCACTTACTTTTTAATGTATAAAACCCAGCTGATGAATAAAACGTCAGACGCTTATTTTGAATAACAACAGGTGTCTGGTGTCTAATTCTCGCTTCTCCAAGTGAACTCGTAACAACAATTTGGGCTTCCTCTGAATATAACAAAGATCAACATTTCTGATCCACAACAGGTACTCTACAGAAATCGAACAATTTCAGAAAGAGACTAAAAATAAATTAGATGAGAAAGTAAACAGGGCAATATTATCATTAAGTCAAAAACGGTATTATCGTAATAGTAGGGTAAACAAGGTTAAGACTAAAAAGCTAAAGGATAAACAGGTAAAAAATAGGATTAGGAAGTTTGTATATAACAATGTAACTCACATAGATCCCCTGCAGACCTGCAATGCATTTAAGAGTATTACAGTATCGTGTATAACTTACCAGACTCAGCTAGCAAAGATTGTGAGGTTAGGGAATTTCTAAAATGCTTGAACCTTACAAAAATGAAGGGAAATAATTTAATCTCATTAAATAAACCCTTTACCCTGGAAGAAGTCAGGACATCTATAAAAAAAAAAAAAACATGAAGAAGGGCAAGGCTCATGGGCCTAATAGGTATACAACAAAATGTCATCAATCCTTGGAATCAATCAGACCACCCATATTAACAGGATTCAATGGCATAGCTAAAGAAGAAAAAAACAGTATGGAATAGGTAGATTACCTTTGTCTACTCTTATTAAAATTTTGTGCTATTATATAACGGACATTAATCAAAATCCATGGAAAAATCAGGAAATTAGGACACTAGTTGATTTTAACTCTCTGCATGAAACAAGCTCCTATTCTCAGCCTCTATGAGAATATTCACCACTACAAGAACTGCCTGCTGTACCAGTGCTACACTATATCCTTAGGCAGGGATTCTGCATTCTGCCCAGGTGTTTGTTGGAGCTGGATTGAAGCTCCATAAAAATGTGAGTGCACATTATACTTAACTCATTCCTCAGGAAGATATATTAACCTACTACACTATCAGTTACTATTTTTTTCTCTTATTGTTAGCTATATCCTTAAGAACAGTCCATGTGCCACAACAACCCCTTTGCATGAAAAACCCTATAAATTATGCTGTAACTCTCTAAAATCCCATTAAACCTGTAGATGGGGTGGGGAGGGAGGGAGAGGGTCTGTTGTTGAACACAACTATGAGTGTTTTAGAGCAGTATAATGTATAATGTTATTGCTACTATAAGTGAAAGTGCAGTTTTTGTGTGAATAAAAATAAAAACTCTAAATTTGACCAAGGTTTGTGACTAGGTGGCCACTAAAAAAAAACTGGACATTAATTACTTTGAATACCAAGTGTTGTCTACTTTTGCAAATGGTATGCCATGAGTGGGGTAATTTTCAATCCTGGGCTGCTATACTGTCCCAAAGGACTCAGCAAACCAATCTGGCAAATTTCAATGTGTAAAAAAAAAAAATGGGAAAGCTCTTTATTTAACTATTAAACTTTCCAAAACACCATGAACGCTGTACATGGGGGGCATCAGTGTAGTCACTTCGTAACATCGTAGGATACACATTTGTATATTTTATTGCAGTAAAAGCTAACAGCTCATTTTGATTTTCAAAGTTAAAATGCCATGCAGAACTTGGACTTTTTTTTTTTATATTTTATGCATATTAATTATATTTAATATATTTGATGTAAAATTAAAGCCTTATTTTGCCTGAACAAAATTATATAATAAGTCTGGGTGCACTTAATATGAAATAGTTAAATTATGGTTGTACATACATGTAGCTCAAATTCTAGGTTCTGTTTTGGTTTAGAATTTGGACAATTGCCTTATGGGGTTAAATGTGAAATTCACTTTGAATTCTTAGGTCTAGTAAATTACCTTGTTAGTGTATTTGAAAATATTGCATTGGAAAAATGTGTATGTGCTGGTGATAAATGTTTCTCTGTTACTATAACTGTAATGTGTATGGGTATACAGAGACACAGATTATCATCAGATATCAGAGTGAAAAGAATATTTACAGATACACACACAAATACACACAAACACAATATAAGCTTTCATAAAACTTTCATAAAAGCCACAGGCTGCTCACTGTTTTACTAGACATGCCCCAACTTGCGGTATGGCAAGTAGGGGCAGAATTTACTAATACTAAGTAATTTTTGCTTAGTATTAGTAAATTTGGCTGAAAGACCAATTTTGGTCTTTCAGCCTTTTGGTAGATAGCTCCCTAATACCGTGGGAAATAGAGAGTTATCTACTTACTCATTCCCATCCATTGACTGGCTATGTAACTTACATTTTATATAAACGTGTTACATGATTGTTGTAAGTGTTGCAAATGCTTAC